GTCATAAATGAAGACTTTCGAGTTCATTCGTGATAAAGAAATTGCAAAGTGGCCATTACCTTCAAATTATTCATGTTAAGGGTTGATGCCCTACTATTAGATTTCCAATCAATAACTCATTGTCCTGATTTCATGTAGTCACAAGTTCGTTGAATAAATCAATCTTTGGCTTACTGAATTATTTTTGGTCAATCAAATTCTATTACATTTGAGGCATGATTCATAGATTAACAACTGCATATGATTAATTATTCAGTAAAAAAAGGTGCAAATCTTCGTACAATCAACTGAAGAAAGGCAATATTTATCTTGACGAGGAAAAAAGACATCAAATTTTTCATCAGTCAAGTCAGTCTCGTTGAGGCTGAAGAGAACTTTCAATTACAAACAAGATATTCATTGAACATTAACTCAAGCTGAAAGAAAACATTCACAACAGTTCTGTTCATATTTCATGCATTTACGTCTTTTACTTTTTTCTTTTGAATCTTTGAATACGTACCCTCTGGATGCCCTAATGTACAGACTTAGTCATATTAATCTAAAATGAGTTAGTTTACATTATTTCTATTTTTCAAGATATACAGGGTGACCCAAACGAAGATGGTTTTTTTTTTTTTTTTTTTGTAGATAGGATAACTCAGGACCTATCAGAATCACTCTATATGTTATGCAATTCACTGTAATTTTTGAGCTAGGACTTTTTCAATGTTTCTATGAGAATTTTCAGACGGTCAGGCTTAAATATCCTATCAACTTTTTTGAAGACTAGTTTTTTCGGTATTTTTTTGTTACGTGATCCTTATGAATTTTTCTTTCACACATAAAATAAGTAGCTCTATAAAATTGCAATAAAGTACAACAAATTTAATCGACAATAATAACCTCGGAATTGAACAAGGCGAAGTTACCAAGTTCAAATTAAATATATTGAATAACATTTTTTCAGTTCTTAGTTCTTAGAACATTTCAAAAACTTTTTGTAACTCTGAATTTTCAGAATAACACGAAAATAGTGAGGCTATTCTTTGTTGAAATCTGCCTTCCAAGGTAAGGACGTGGAAATGTTCAAGGATCGATATTTGCCTATGAAAAGTTAGTGTTTATATTTACCTACGGTTGATTCAGATAGAAAATATGCCTTGTTATCAGACAAACTATTGAGAAAAAGGATTTCTTTGAATGTTACTCAGTAGTTGAAACAAAAAAATTTATCTTTTTTTTAAGTATTAGTTGTGTGAAAGATACTTTCCGGATTTTTTGGCCGTGGTCTATAGATTTTTATGCCTGACGTTTCGTCTAATACTACGGTAGACATTATCAAAGGTGATGTGCTAACAGTCGCAGTGCTCAAGTTGGTGCTCGATTTGTCGTTCCCACTGCACAAACTCCGATGCTGGTATTTGACTCTGGTTTTATATTATTATTGATAAGCGTGGCTTGGTTTCTCTTAACAGGTTGAATGCCAACTACTCCGTTCGGAGTATACGGGCATCAATCGGCGATGCCACTCACTCCGATCAGAGTGTTGTGTATGCCTAACTTGTAAATATCAGTATTCATTCGACGTTGGCTAGAGAAAGTTTTAGCTGCACTGGTATCCATTTGTTGAGCACGTGTTATAGTTGGTTAAGCGGTTTTTATTTTTTGTGTCGTTAAACATAGACGCCAAACCTGGACCTTCTGGATTGCAGGAAAAAGAACATAATTTACATGTGTACAGTAGGAAAGCACTCACAGATAAAGAATTATTGCAGTGTTTAGAAGATAGCAGTGGTGACAAATATTTGCCAGAGCCCGAAGATGACTATCCCTCCGATTCAGAAAGTGATTAAGATGCACATGGTGATGATCAGTCGTTAGGAAATATTCCAGTTTCGGTTATACATACCAATTCAGCTTCAACTAATGCGCAAGAAAAATTCAAGTGGGCAAAAGCAAGTACACTGAAACAGTTAACATTCAAAAAAAATCAAGAACTTTTAGTACCGATTCCGGGCAGAGGCAGACCTATAGATTTTTTCAGAATTATAATTGACGACACGTTTTTGTCCCAAATTGCAGACCAGACAAATAATCATGCTATTCAAATTTTTCTTAGTAGTGGAATATCTGCAAAGTCACTTATCACAGTGCATTGAGAATATTTATATTATTTTAATTTTTTATGATTATTTGAGCATAAACCAAATTGATTCTTGTATTCTTATGTGATGTTACCAGTTTAGTTTTTATGTCTATGAAAATAAACGTATTTTACATAATTATGGTATGTTCTAATGGTATTATTGTTAAAATGTAAAACACCTCTGATCGGAGTGTTCGGTATCCGGTTAAAATATTAATGCTTGAAGCCAACCACTACGATCGGAGTATTATTTTATATTAATTTTAAAAATAGAAAGAGAATGACAAACATAATAACACTATTATTTAGATGACATATGACATAAAGAAAGGCAAAAAACCAATAAAACATAACGGCATCCGAGAGTACCTCAAAAATATGATCGGCAGTCAACCTGTTAACTGGGTTATCTGACTTTGTGTACCATTAAGGACAGGTAACCATATTTCATTAATGTTCATTGCCTCTTCTTTTCTACTGAAATTATTCATGTGTTGTTTTTTGAATTTCTATTGCCTCTCTATAAATTCTTAGATACTAATTTTTATCTCTGAAAATTTTCTCTTCAGTACCTTTGAATGCCTGTTACAGGAAATAATAGCCTACTAGGTACTAGGCTAGTATGTGTTATTGGGCAACGTTTGTTGAGAATTTAAACAAAAAAAAATTAAACAAAATTCCTCTCGAAAAAAAAATTAAACCTATTCAAGCTGGTCTGGCAAAAATTCTCAGGAACATTTAAAACAAATAACACAAAAAGACTAGAATGAATCGTAACACAATATGGGATGACTCTGATAGATATTGTGGTGTCTATCTCAAAAAACATATTGAAGACCTTTGGGTCACACTGTATACGAAATCATTTACATGAGTTTCAACTTTGTCATTACTTTCCACATAAAATACCATGAAAATACCCACCAAATCCCATGGTATTAATAATTATTAATAGACACGTTTCGACAACAAAAATATTAATAATGATCATGCTACTAAGCACAGTTTCAAAGCAATACTACAACTGACCAGCTTGAAGCATGTGTTGAGTACGGACTGAAAACTATGAGCGAAAGGGCTCGGAAATCTGTAAAAAGGAATAAATCTACCAGTCATTCACTTCACTACACACGATTCCACTATACTACAAATACAAACTGTGATGATCTTTTTTCATTTGTTTGGACAATAATGAAAATGTAAAGATATTCAATCATTTTAAAAGATGTTTTTCATGGATCATGCATCTCAGTGAAAACAAGAAAAATAACAACTAACCAAATTTTAAAATTCAAGAAATCACAGGATGTAAAAGATTCGTAGAATCATACATAACAAATAATACATAACAAGCTGATATTTGTAAAAAATAGTTTTCAAATAAACATTTCCCTAGATAACTCATTTCTTGCAGTATAAATAAACATTTGGAACATGTAATTCAAATTGAATTATTTGTAATTCTCAATTCCTATTTAATAATTCAATAAATGAAAAAAGCTCATCAGTAAAAACATATGAGGAATTTTAAAAAAACAGAAAGTGGAACAGATATTTGAGAAAGATTTACTGCCACAAGAAGAATACATTCAGCAAATATACGTAAGAAAAGAAACTTGTGATTAGACGAGTATGAGACGAAGTATAACTAAACATAACTAGGTAGGATAGGGTAGTCTTTTTTATTATTGTGGCTCACAACGTTTCAAACTCGACCAAAAAATCCAGTTGTTTAAAGAAGTAACAATATATTTTTCATGGTTTTCACGTTTGCATATTTTTTTGCACACAAACTGAATCACAATCATTCAATGAGAAAAATATCGTTATGTTGATACTTTTTTTCACTCAACTGTTTACAACTGTTTACAACTGTTTATTCAGTAAAGTCTCCACCATTGCGTAATATTTTATGACACTTCAATCTAAATGTGTCATAAAGTAATAACTTGTTTCACCAGTTATTACTTTATGACACAGATAACTCATGTAAGGATATTTCAAATTGTAAATATAACTGTTGGCTTTATAGCTATTTGTCAGTTACAGGCTTTGAATGGATGCTTGAGTTTATTCAACTAACTTGTTCTTTAGTACTAGTTCGTAATCTCCAACTATGTATCAACAGTTGCCGAAACGTAATAATAAAAAATTGTAAAGGGTAAATAATGAAGGGTTAGAAGATAAAAAGTTTGTGAACCAATCAAGTTTTGAGGGCTTATGAAAAATAAGTGACGGCAGACTTTTCCATTTTTTTTTACATTTCTTTCCAGTTGATTATCACTTGAATATTTCCTCCAAAGTTTGAAAAGCGACATGGTGGATTATAAGAGATATACGATTAATTATTCGGTAACTGAGCTGAGACAAGAAAGTTCCGCCCAGTTTCACGAACAATCAATAATATACGAATGAAATATCTGTTACAATCAATTAATTAATGCTATGTAATTTAACTGAAATCTCTTACTGTGAAAAACATATTATGTATAATATTTTAAAGCGAATTTGAAAATATTTTATGGTGGAATAATTGATAAAATTAACAGGCCTTTATCTAAATATTTCGTACATTTATCAGACATTAGATCCATGTCGAGTGTTCGTTCATATCAAAAATTATCTATACAAGATTATATCCAGTACATAATGTCGATAATTTTATTGTAATCATCCACGTGAATTATTTCGATTCGAAAAGTTTCAGGTTCATTCTGAAGGATGTAATAATGACTAAGATACAACGTATTTAATATTCACCATTGTGTAACTCACTTAGTGGGTTATGCTACCTGCAAAGTCAATGTGAAAGGTGGCGGTTTTACGTCAGCACTGCTCAATTCCTTCCTGTAAAACTATCATATGAACTCACCTTCGTAATTGACTTGACCGTCCCCATCGATATCGGCCTCCCTGATCATTTCATCGACCTCCTCGTCCGTCAGTTTTTCACCCAAGTTGGTCATTACATGACGCAATTCCGCCGCGGATATGAAACCGTTTCCGTCTTTATCGAATACTCGGAATGCTTCGCGAATCTCTTCTTCACTGTCTGTATCTTTCATTTTGCGCGCCATCATCGTCAGGAATTCAGGAAAGTCGATAGTGCCGTTACCTAGAAACATTTTTTTTAAATTGAGCAAAATGTTGTATCTGTACTACTAATATATGCAAGTAATTTTTTAAAAAATTCAACTTTCATAATATGCTAATGTCCGACAGAAAGTTGGGATTCGGTCGAATTTCGGCAAAAAAAAAGGGTTTCGGGTTTTGGCGGCAAACCTGCCGAAAGTACGACCGAAATCATGTCATGACTTACTTTGTGATTTACTTTGTTCATTACATAAATATTAAGTACCTATTGTGATATTAGGTAACAACTTAAATAAGTAATTTTATGTTTAATATTTTTGAAAAACCATTAATATTCAAAAAAAAAAGAATCTATACCTCCTCAAATGAACACCACACCTATTTTATTATTTTTAAGGTGCAATTAATATTTTTTTCTTAAATAAGGGGTTGTTATGTTGATTTGTTGATCATCAATAATTAAAAATGTCAAAGACTGCATAACGTTGTAATTTAAAGATAACAAAATAGAGGCTGACTGTTTATAATAATGTTTTCTTTATTTTGCCCTCAAAACATAATCTTTGTGAGGAAGTTACGGTTTCGGCCGAAACTGAGACCTCTGCCAAAATTAGGTTTCGTTTCGGTCGTAAAAACCAGTTTCGATCGGATCGATCAGACACTATAATATACTATGATATTCTGATAAAGTAAATGGGTAGTGGATCCATGAACCAGTATCAATATATCTCCATAAGAAATGAAAATGAATTATCATCTTCAATTACTGATGTAAATAATTTTGATAAACGAATATAAGCCCATATGGACTTTTTTCAAATTCCGATATCTTCCAAACAAGAAAAGTCGAATTGTATGAAATTATACGAAAACATATGTGTACTTGACAAATTTCTTACAACATATTCAGTATAATCAAGGAAAAAATTATTAAAGAATTTTTATGACATTGCAGCAAGTTGTGTTGAATAATTTATACTAATGGGTTAGATATACCCAAATCTAAAATTAAACAAATATTTTTAGCATTTTACCTGTACAATGGTACATACAGTACATTTCTTTAATCCCTCCTTTTATTTTTTGAACGGGTCAATTAAAAAAAAAATGAAATTTGGGATAATGAAATTAATGCATGAATACTTCATTTTGAAGTGAAATTGACAGATAAAACTTTCAAGATTGCGACTGGGCGCCATTTGGGAAAAAAATTAAATGGAATCAAATTCACAACTACCGGTAGTGTACATAACAAAAAGCCCCCCAGGTCATCCGTCCATTCCGGAAAAACAGCAAGTGCAAAAAATTGGTGAGATGGTAGTAAATCCTGAACTTCTTATTCCGTCGTGAATGTTTGTGAGGTGTCTCCTTCTACTGTGTGGAGACTTTTGAAGAAGAATAGGTATCACCCATACAAAATTAAAATGGTACACCAATTAACTGAAGATGACCCTGATCGAAAAACAGAATTCTACGAAATCATGAAGGAAACCATTGCAAGGCATCCTACCTATCTCCACAATATTTGTGGAGATAGGTAGGATAGGTGAAGATCAACGTTTCGGCAGGAATATTGGAAAACCATATTGTAGGACCTCTATTTATTGATCAAAATTTAGCAGGGGAACTGTATTTGAATATGCTGGAAACTACTGTCGACCCTCTCATCACTGAAATCGTCGAAGCGAATCCTAATGAATTCGATATGAATATTGTATAACAAGATGGAGTACCACCACATTACTCCAGACAAGTAAGGAACTATTTGGATACTACTTTCCCGGTCATTGAATTGGCCGTCGAGGTCCTACAGAATGGCCAGCCCGCTCGCCAGATTTGACACCTTTGTACTTTTTTATAGGACAATTCAAAGCAAAAGGTGTACAAAACTGAACCTGCCTCAATATTGGATATGCGGCAGAGAATAATAAATATTTGTAGAGATACTGACGTCACTGTGTTCGAAAATGTTCGGCGTGAAATATCGGATAGGCTGTTCATATGTCTAAAGTTCAAGGCAACCATTTCGAACATATTCTGATCTGACCTCAAGCTTATTACCTCATATTATGTAGTTAAATGTCAATGTCAGTTCCGCTATTTTGTAGTAGTTATGTCAATGTATTCAGACAATCATTAAAAGTTCCGCCATTTTATAGTGGTTGAAGATATATATTGACATTATATTCTAGGGTTGTGAAGCATTTGTCAGGAGCTTCAAAAAGATGTTTCACACGACCCCCATTTTCATTTAATTTGTTTTCCCAGATGGCGCCCAGTCGCCATCTTGAAAGTTTCATCTGTCAATTTCACTTCAAAATAAAGTATTCATGCATTAATTTCATTATCCCAAATTTCAATTTTTTGAGTTAACCCGTTCAAAAAATAAAAGGGGGAGCATTAAAGAAATGCACTGTAGAAAACAGAAAAAAATTAGCTTTCCACAAAAAATCTCTTTCAGTAACTACCGATTTCAAAAACGTGCTCTGCAACACAGTATATCATAAATATATCGTTATGTTAGATTTGAAGCTATAAATCACATGTAAATAGATTTCCATGAACAGCCTAAATCCAGAATATTTCTGTATCACTCGTCACCACAGTAATTTTGAAACTACTGAAAAGCAGATAATACTACTTATGTTCCTCGTGGGGTCTCATGTAATGTAGTTCATTACTGGAAAAACCATATTTACGAAAAAAAGCACTTCCATAAAAATGAGTCACCTCCAAATATTTAATTTAGTTTCTGACTGTACCGGCTTACTGTGTCTCATCAAAACGAGATGATATTTTACGTGAAACTTTCAGAAGTGCCTGATAAGCAATTGATTATCTTTTTTTGGAATTAGAATCATGCGATGATAAAGTCTCAAAGATGACATTGTAGGTTACATAACTGTGAAGCAACATGTCAGAATATTAGAAAGCATTCAAAATATAAAATCAATATAAACAATATTGTTAACCATCGGGGAGCATAAATTAACAACCTTATTCTAAGGTACAAAATTATAACTCAAAACATTTTTAATTATTTATAAAGGAATAAGAAAGCTCGCAAATGGTCTTCGAAGCGCTAGATTGCCTCATCGTCGCCTCCAGACTCGGTTGTCTGTTGAATTTTTAAATGAAAATAAATAAAATGTGTCAAAAGTCAACTGAAAATATAAAGAAAAGTATATTTTAAATTAAAAATAATAAACCTAAAGAAGAAAATTCTACAAATTTATCGTTATTCTACAAGGTTCACTGATACAGAGCGATAGAAATTGAACACATGTGGAATTCAAAGAGGAAAAAAGATGCATATTCTTCATTTTGACCAAAATGTGGAGGAAATTTTGAACGAAGATATGTCGAAATACACCTCTCACCAACAAAACAATTATTTGATATTACAAACGTATACAAGGAGCAATAATTGAAACCGACCTTATCAGCAAGACTAATCAAATTTACAATCAATTCGAAAAAGCAATTTATTGCTTCCATAAAATTTCTAGATTAAATATAGAATTATTTAGAATCACATCACACATGTAAGTTAGAGTAGGATTAGGTGAAAAACTTCGTTTGAAAATAATGATAACATTAACATCCATTAGCATGCCTTTATGATTTTTCTGACGTCTGTACAGGAGCGAAACTCTTCTATATATTTCATTTCGTGACTATGTTGAACGGCAATCATGATTTGCATTTGGTTGGAGTTTTTTGTACTTTTCGACAAATTGGGCGTATATTACGTCATTTCACCCTATCTTATCATTCGAGTTCTATTGGTAGGTACAGTGTTTTTCAACCTGTGGGTCGTCGACTCCAAGAGGGCCCAGAAGGCTTACTCGGGGTTAGGTTAAGTTAGGTCCAAAGTGAGTAGGTCTATTCGTCTCCACCGTAACCCGCAAGGGTTTATTGTGGCTGACACCTATTCACACTCGACCAAATAAACCCAGCTTGCTTCTTAACGAAGCCGATTAATTTGTATGGTGAGTGGTCTTTCAGGTCAGATGGTAAAAGTACGGCTCTGCCGAACTCTGAAACCCTGATTCGGTCCCCAGCGGGGCAAGCACAAATTATGTGCTCTGCTATTTGATCATTTTCCAAACAGAGGCGACCTATTCCTTAGAGTTAACTGACCTCTTTGATGCAGTAGATTTTGGTGGAGCGAACCCTTATCTACAGAGTAGTTGGGTTTGCAAGGCTTTATTGTTATTAGTTTACAATATTGACACTCTAGTCACTGATTATTAGATACTGTCAATAGAATGTACTGTACCGAATTCACCCGTCACGTGCTTGCAGATGGTATGAAAACATAAATAATGCGCTATAAACAAATGAAAAGAAAAAATAAAAACAAAAATGTTGCAGACAGTTGGGGTGTTTCACAAATGAATGATTATTCAGATGAACATGACATACGCTAATGAAAACACTTTTTCATGATGACGATAACATGGTTCACGAAACGCCGATCGATGGGTAGCATTTTTGTTTTGGTGTGGGAAAAGTGTTATATTATCTTTTCAAAAAGACCAGGAAAATGACATACCACATTGAAAATAACGTACCACACTGAAAACAATTTGGTTTTGTGATAAGACATTGTGGTTAATTTCTGGCGAATATTTCAAAAACAGTCGTTTATAATTTCAATCTGAAATGGGATTGATTATTCCAATTCCCCCAAAATAGGAAAAATTTGTCCAATTTAACCGACCTTGTAGGTCTTAACGTTTTCGAGGTAGAAATAGTGGAATCAGTTGAAATAAATGGCCTGTGTATGTTGTGATAACGGTTTAGTGCAATTTTCAATTTTTGAAGTTAACTTCGGGCGTGTATTTACTTTACAGAGTTGAGTAAAGATACGCCCGAAGAAGCCATTGTATGGCGAAACATGTGTTGCGTTTTTTTAAAACTGTTTAGTGAAAATCTCACAATAAAGTGTTTACATTTGAGTAAATATCAAACGAATGTCAAAAGTAAAACAAGCAAAAACAAAAAAATGGTTGAAAT